GGGAAAAGAGAATAAGTCGCGAGAAAACGGTATTTAAGTGACCTCGTCTGGCGAAGGAGGTGACTCAATAAGCCGTGCATCAGCTTTCCCGAAGGAGAACTCGACGGATGTTACATTGGGGTCGTGCCCTTTTCGTAGGAATGACTGATCATATGTGTGTTCCTTCGTAGAACATGTGAACCACTCCACGAAGATGTATACTACGAATGAGTGTGTGTGATGTCTTTAGCTTAATGTCTACGAGAGTGTCTGGCGACGTCGTCGTCATCCTTTCGAATACGCGCAGCTGCAGCTACCGTGTGGGTCGACAATGAGTAGCCTCCATGAAATATACATCATAAATTTTCCTTGATTCTTCAGCCATTAATTTTTATATTACTTTTTCCGTTCTGTTTTACGGTATATTAATGAATATATCTTTTCATGGAAAACATAATCATTTACAAATGAAAATATTATATATTTTATTTGTCTTATTTCTTATTTATATAATAATTATTGAATGTAAACAATAGAAAAAAATATTTTAAAGAAAAATTGACTGGTTTCACATAATTTGACATTAATTTTTTTAATAAATATATAAAAGATATAAAATATATATAAAATAGATAGAATTTTCAATTCTTAATTAATTGAATTTTTATTTTTTGGATGGAATCATTTAATTTTTATCGCAATATGATATCACAACTTGTTACAAAAAAGTACTTAAAAAATTAAATTATTTAAAAAAACTAAATTATTTATATCGAATATTCTAACATGAAGTAAAGTTTATAAAAGAGATTAAGAACAAAATGATATCTTCTTGTCTTTTATATAATAACTTTTACAAAAACTTCAAGTTAAAATATTTCCTAAACTAAAAATTTTTCGAAATAGTCTGGTATTTTTTTGTAGGAAATAACGAATTACATCTATTATTACAATAAAAAATTAATGTGTTTTTTAAAATCATTCAATTTTTATTTGAAACATTTTTTTATATCATCAATTAAATCAATTAATCTCATTAAAATTTGACAGATATTCGTAAATCGATTTAAATAGAACGTTTCGTATATTTACTAATATTTACTAAAAAATTATTAAATTATATTAAATTTATAATATTTACTAAAAAATAAAATATAATTGAATATTTGTATTGTATAATATAATTCAGCCTTCAAATTTTAAACAAATTTATTTTAAGAGATGATTTGATTTTTAAGTCGTTTGAGTTTCGAATTAAATTTTTCTATTTAAAATAATGTAAATTAAATTAATCTATTTCAAATCTCATTAATCTATTTCAAAAAAAATTTACACGATATAAAATTTTAAATATAAATAATAACGTAAAATAACGATTTTAAATAATAACGTAAATATTATCACATTGATCTATTTGTCTATAAATTACAATTTCTTAGTATTATTCATTTAAATTTTTAATAAAACTTTTGTAACTTATTCTCACGAAATAAAATATTCTCACGATACATTATATTTTTGTGAGACATCAATTGAGAAATAGCTTGGTTTGCAAAACGATAAAAATGTATAAGATATCAAATTCATTTTATTCAAAATTTGCAATTTTACTAAAAAATGCATATAAATATTTAGATTTATTTTTTAGATTATCATTTATATAATAGATTTATCTGCTATAAATTGTGATATTATTTTATCTTCATCTTCGTAGAAAGAAAAATTTAATCAAAATAGAAACTCAACATTAGTCACACTCTCTGTTCCAATCTCACATGTATAACAGTGTATAACTTATAACTTATAATATTGTATAACTTAATGCAGCGCAGTATTATTATTATTGTGAGTAAAGATATGCAAAAGAGGAGAAATGTGATCCTTTCGTTGAAAATATATATCGCAACGGAAAAAAATATTGCACGCAAATGCAAAACAATGAACATATAAGCTTTCTTCTCTTGTAATTAAAAAGTCAGGTTTAATAGAATTTGATAAAAAAAAAAACAATATCCAATAATTTAATTTAATTTAAATTAATAAAAATTATTAATTTAAATTAATAATTTTTATTAATTTATACTAATAATTAATAAATTAATAAAAAATTAATCAAATTTAATTTTAAATAATACTTATAATGATTAATATTAAATTGATAGGAAAATTATTAGTTTTTGATTCCAAAAAATAAACAATTTCAAATAGCATGTATAAATAGGATAAGTCCAGATATGACAACTTACATTTTTTAAATAGTTTTAAATAGTTTAATTTTAAATAGTTAGTTTATAATACATTGTAAACTAACTATTTAATTAACATATTTTAATTATTTAATTAACAATATATTTAAACAAAAAAATATATATTTGAAAATGTAAATATATATAGATTTATAATATTAAAGAAATTAAATATTAAAAGATAAAAATAATTATAGATTTTTTATACCATCAAAAAAAAATATAATTAAATTTTATATCTGGATGAGATGACACACTTCAAAGTGTGATGATACAGTTAAAAAATATATGTTAGTTTGAAACGAAAAATTATTTTTCTTTTTTTTGCATAAAATATTTACACACTTACTTATTTATATATTATATATATTCAAAAATTCTGAATATCCTCCATGAAATTATTTTTTATATAAGTCAAATATCGAATTTATTCATATGTTTTGATGTATGATTTTATTATTCTCCGCATCCCATGTGCAATATTGTCTATTTCTTCAATATTATTATTTTTTTGAATGTACTGAAAAATCTAAAAAATTTTCACCGGAAGATAAATCCTGCATATTAATTATTTTGGATCTGTTTAATTTTTCAATGTTTTGTTTTATTTTTTTTTTTTTTTTGTTTTTTTCAATTGTTACCAATTGATACTAATTCAAATAAGTACCAATTTTTTTAATATTTATTAATATTTCTTTTTTTATCAATCTTTTTAGAAATTAAATAAAATATAACAAATGTTTTCTATATTTTCTGATTTGTTAATCTGTATCCATTGAGATATTACTGATTCAAATATACGTTTATTGTTTCTGTTATAGAAGATTCTACATTAAATTTCTATATTAATATTTATAACATGTTATTTTGATCGTGATATTCATCTACATTATGATAAATTCATTTTTCGAATTTTATAAAATATTCTATTATTATATAATGTAATTATATTAATGTATTAATGTATTATTTTAATGTATTATTAATGTAAATTAACTCTTCAATTTGGATTATATTATGCATATAATGAGATGAGCCTGTTGTGAAATTTATTATATATAATATTTATATAATTATATAATTAATATTTAAATATAATTTATATTTAATTTATTTATATTATATATATAATATATATATTTAATATATTTAATTTAATTTATATTTAAATATTTTTTAAATGGTGATATCACATTATAGTGCATAGAAAAATTAAAGAAAAATAATATTTACGTACAAATTTTATCCATGAATATTTATCCATTAACATTTCTATAAATATTTAACATTTTATACTTATTAAATGTTTTGATAACTTATGTAAAAATATTAAATTATATATCTTAAAAGTTTTATGAAAGTTTTATATTTTAATATAAGTTGTTTTAAAATAAATAAGTATGTCACGCAATAAGACATGAAAGTCGTAAAAGTTAAACCATACCAATTTTTATCTTCAATTATTCGTATTGATATATGAATTTAAAAAAATAGAAATGCACTTAAATCTGAGAAAATATTTATTATATTTTTGAAATAAAATAATAATGATGCAAATTTAAAGCAAAGTTTATCGATTTAATCAAATTTAATTAAATTTCGAATTATAAAATAAAATCGTATTAAATTAATAGTAATTGATAAATTTATATATTCGATGTCCAATTTTAATCTGTGAGAATTTGAATCATACTTAATTATGATAAAAAAGTATTCAAACAGAAATTGAATATTTTTGAAAATATAATCTGCATATAATTATTTCTTTTTGTAGATGGATGCATAAGTTATATGAAGATTAAATATTTTTATTTTAATGAAATCATATAATTTTTAATGCATTAATTAATACAGCTCGTTATTTTCTATGAAAATTGTTACTTATGTTACTAAGAAAAGTTGTTTATAAAATATTTTAACTCATGAAAATTAATATATGTAAGACAAGGATAGCATAAAAGCAAGAATAGATAAATATTATTTCGCACATTTTTTGTTTTCTATAAGTCATGTAGGGGTAAGTTTTAAAAAATTGAATATCTCTGAAATTAATGAGTTCTCGACATAAATAGTTTGATATATTTTTGCAAGGAATAACTGTGCTGTATCAGAAAATGTATTAAAAATTATACGATTCCATTTAAGAAAATATCACTTTCACGCAATATCTATGCGTTCATTTACAAAAAAACTAATTATATAATATTTATTTATATAGATTACATTATATTATTACATTACATTAGATTATATCTTTCTCAAAGATAATTTCTGTCTAAATATTTTTTTATACAATAAATAATTTATGAATAAAATTAAAAATGAATATGAACTATAAAATTTTCGACAAATATCTTAAAAAGTAACATCTTAAAAAATATTTATTAATAAGTATATACTACATAATTATACAATAATTCAAATATTTTTAAAATTATATATTATAGAAAACTAATTTATTTTTATTAAATAATTAATAATTAAAATTTAATTAAAATTAAAATTTTAAAAAAATTTTAAAATAATTTAAATTTATTAATTTTGTTGAATACTATAGATATGAATTAGAAAATGTATAAGTTTTAAAGTAAATAAAAAAAATTATCTATAATAAAAGAACTTACAAATTAGAATTTTTACATGCGAAATAAATGTAAAAGAGAAAATTTGTATAAGAGATATTTTATATAAAAAAATATTTTGTAAAAGAGATATTTTGTATAAAAAATAATATGAAAAATAAAAAATAATTCAATTATATGAATTATCTTTCAGAAGACTCATCCTAAATATTGGTCGTATGCATGATATATATCTCAAGTTTCAAGAAATATTCAATTTTTACGAGCGGAAAATCGAAAAACCACCGTTACAACGGGTGAGATTTCATCGATACCAGAAAAACTCCAATATAATAAAAGGTTTTTATACATCCTGTATTTTTCTCTGGCAAAAAAAGATGCAGCCAACAGGTAAAACGTGGTAGAAAAAAATGCGCTCTTATCTAACCAATCAATGAAAGTTGAAAAAATATGCAAATTTCAGGCAAGTTACTGCAACCTGACACCTGTCGTTTTCACGAATAATGACAGCGTCAACATCTGCGTTTCTATAGAAAGCTATCTTCTCAAACGTTTGCAAAATTGACTATTCTTAATTTTATATAAAAAAGTAAAAAAAAAAAAAAAAAATTTTCTTAATATCATTTAATAAAAAATGAGAGTTACAATTTGAGAATTTCAAATTTATAATACAATAGAATAATAAGTTAATGCTAATTGTTTAAAATATCGATTTTCGGAATATATGTATATAAAATTCACATTTTTTTGGAAGATTTAAAATGATATTAATATATAAAAAATATACATGATATAAAAAATTTAGCGATAAAATAAAATATTAGAAAATTTATGATTTTTGAAAATAAAAGAAATGAATTAAAATTATGTTGCATCAAAATTATATTAAAAAATTACACAAAAAAAAATATTTAAAAAAAAGAAAATAAATTTAAAAAAATAATTGATTATTCTCTAACGACACAGAATCAGTCAATTTGAGAATTAATATAATAATTATTACGTTTGTATTATAATGATATTTTTCTTTCATTGATATTATTTTATTTTGTGTAATATTATATATAATGATGTAATTTATATTTTTTTAAAGTTAAAATTTGAATTTAAAGATTTTTATTGAGAACTTTTAAATAATGATTGACATAAATTACAATGCACAAAATATATTCATAGAATATTTTTAGAGGATCAATTCTAAAAGTTAAAACAAATATCGAATATAAATGATAAACAAAAATGTTGATTAAGGCGTATTTATTATGTTATAATTATAAAAATATTAATTGATATTAATCGAATGAAAACAAAATGAAACTACTTTATTTGATTATACTATTTCATTACACTTTGTTCCTACTTTGCTTCATTTGATGGAATTTTAAATATTCATAATATTCATGATAAATAAGTATCAATTGATATTTTTATATATAAATTATTGTTTTGATCTCTAAAATCGATTCTTTGAAAACATCATACTTATTAATACTTTTTAAACATTCCAATTTATTAATAATTTATATTTATATATATATTTATAGTTATATTTTATGAGAGTTTTACAACTTTTATTTCTTGCAATATATAAATTTTATTGATATTTTAAAGACAAAAAGACAATAATAGAAATTAACTAATTTTCTGAGCGGTGAAAAATTTTTACAGAATATTCTTTTACAACTTTAAAGCCAAAATGCAATTATTTATCTAGGAGTTAGTAGAAATATTATGAAAAATAAGCGTGAAATAGTTGCCGTTAAAATTGATTTATTTCTTCATTACCTTCTTTAGATAAAGATTTATTAATAAAATAAAAAAATAAATAAAATAAAATAAGAAAACAGGTAAGTTTATTTATGTTGGTGTCGAACATATCCGAAAAGTCATAAAATCGTTTTTATGTGAGAAAAATTTGATGGTAAAGTAGGTATCGACTCGTCGGTAAATACTGTTAACGTTGATGAACGGATCGTCAATTGTTCTCTTCCATAATAACTATTTTATGGTTTTTAAATAGCAATTTCCGATCAGCTTACTTATACATTTATATTTTCTAAATGATTATTTTGCTGATAAATCGTCATATAAAAGTCACTAATTATATGAATTGTATGAATTTTATTAATAATATTTATAATTGTCTAAATATTTCAGAAGAAATTATTAATTTGAATCTCTGAAAAATTATAAAACGAATTGAATCAAAAATTTGGAAAATTATTATATATTTAAAAGAAAAATTAAGAATTTTTATCAAAAAATAATGATTTATTAAATTTCGAACAATTTCTATTTAATATATCAAACTTCAATATAAGCTTCATATATAAAAAAAGATATTTTATAAGGTATTAAAAATTATTTTAATTTTAATCATATGTTTGATTTTGCATATTTTTATAATTAAATATTTTTATAATGTTTAAATATTTTTATAATTATTTTTTTCGTTTCTCTTTTATTACTTAAACAATATATGATATAAAAAAAATTTTTAAGAGAGAAAATTTTTACTAAGAAATTCTTCATACTTAATATAATATTTATTTTTTCTTCTTTGTATATTTCTAAAAATTTAATATAATTTTATATAATTTTATTTTATA